CTGCCAAAGGTGGCTACTTTGATGAGTCAACAGTTTAGAATACATTTTGGTCTATAAATTGATTCCATAATTTCTTTTTTGACTCCAATTGCTTATTTGTACTATGCTTTCACGTCTGAGTGCAATGAGACATTAAACGGCATAATTTTCCGTAAAAACACGAACGGAAGAATTGGGGTGTTCTAAAACTTTTGACCGGTAGTGTACATTGTATAAAACAAATCGTAGGAATAGGAGAGACAGTGCAATATATTTCACAATATACTCAGACGCATGTTTTCTGATTTCCTCAGCACATATGTATAACTTAAACTTGTTTTGGGTACAACAACAACTTAAAAAACTGGAAATAATATATTAAAGAAGCTGCATGGTTTTTCAAGTGTAACTGACACAAACTAAAGTCTAACATTTTCCACTGGTGTGTTTTTCTTCTGCACTGCTGCGCTATAGGATTTTTCTAGGTGGCTGTATCTGTATATACCATGCGTATGAAGCAGATAAAAAAAAAAACCCAAACAACAGAATGACTGCATAGGTAATAAGTAAGAAGTAATACCTGGACATGGGGTGGGGCACTGAGGACGTATGTGACTGAATTGGCTACATCATCAGCTTTCAAACACTGTGGATGAAAAGACAAGTTTTACTTGCGCAACGAAGTCAATTTGACTGCATAACATTCGTCCTACGGATTCTCACTTTTCTTCTTCTTCTTCTTTTTCTTTCGGCTTTGTCCCTTTTTTTTTCAGGGGATGCCAAAGCGAATCATTGATTTCCATATTGCCCTGTTCTCTGCATCTTCTACTCTGACTTCAACTATCTGCATGTCCTTCTTCACTGCATCCATATATCTCCTCTTTGTCTCCTACCTGGTAGCTCCATCTCCAACAATCTTCTACCAATGTATCCACTGTCCCTCCTCTGCACATGTCCAAACCATCTCAATCTGGCTTCTCTAGTTTTTTCTCCAAACCTTGTCACTCCTAAAGAGAATCTTGGCATCTTTAACTCTGCCATCTCCAGCTTTGCCTTCTGTCTTCTGCCTATTGCTACTGTCTCTAAACCATACATCATGGCTGGTCTCACCGCCGTCCTGTAAACCTTTCCCTTCACCTTGGCTACACTCTTCTGTCACAGATCACTCCTGACACTTTTCTCCAGCTGTTCCATCCT